TGAGCACAACTGTCCTGTGTCACTTCTGGGCAGAAGCTATAGAAGCCAGGCCATGTTTCACCAAGTCCTCCTCCCTCTATTCATCGGTGATTGGATGTTGATTATGGAAGCTCATATCCAGGTGGAGCCTCTTCCCTTGGCCTTAATCCCTGGGGAACTAGAGTGAGCAGACCTCTCCCCACTCACCAACATGAGACACACAGCATGAGCCCGAAACAGACCTTAGCTGCTGTAGCCACCCAAACCTGGGGTTCTTTGTTACTGCAGCATAACTTCACCTACACTGACTGATACAGAAGCTGTGACCTTCTACACAAATCCAGGAGAGATCTGGAGCTTCTAGAAGAGCACTCACTGCTGAAAAGGAACTTCATGATCAATGGGCTGCTCCAGCTCCTGAATTCAGTGAGCTCAATCCAAGGTTGTGGATGGTTCTGAGAGCCGGCAGGAGCCCTCCATCCCTTTTCAGCAGCTCCCCACAGGAGACTGAATGGTGCACCTGTTTCTCAATGTGGTCTGCAGCCCCAGTCCCTCATATAGGAAACCACCACCCCAAGTGCCATAAGCCATCTTTCCCGATGGTTCTTAGACAAAATGTGTAAATAAGGTGGGTAGAGGACAGCCTTTTTTAGTGCAAAGGAAAAGGGACTTGTGGGTGCTGTAAACCCTGAGTTCACTTATGGCTGAGAAGCTCTGTTGTTTTTATATTTTAATGTCAATGAGGCTGGATTATAGTATTTGCAACTCATATTTTGAGTAGGCCTGCTCAGTCCTTTCAGCCCTGTCCAACTCCCTACGACCCTATGGACTGTAGGCTGCCAGGCTCCTCAGTCCATGGGTTGTCTAGGCGGAAATACTGGAGTGGGTTGTCATGCCCTCCTCCAGCAGATCTTCCCCAACCAGTGGCTGAACCTGTGTCTGCTGCATTACAAGCAGATTCTTTACCGCTGAGCTACTGGGGAAACCTGTTTTAAGCATAAATGTTCAAGGTAAAATTGCCAAAGTGCAGAGTAGGTTATAGTGAAAAACAAAAGTTGTCCTCTATCTCTGTATGCAGTCACACTCAGCCATCTCTCTATCCAGCCAGCTGGGGGTGCAGGGACACCATCTGGCCCTGAGGTGCTCTATAGAGCGTGAGAAATGGCCTTGATCTTCAGTAGGCTTATATTTGGGTCTCAGTTAATGAAGTGGGGCCAGTAGTGCTTCTGCTGGAACTGGAGCAAGCTGGATGGAAACTGTGTGGATCTAGCGAGCACTTGTATCATCCCAAAGGGGCAGCAACAGCTCTGCACCAGCTGTTCCTTGTTGAAGGAAACAAAGAATGCAGACTCACTGATGCTGGACTGCAAGTGAAAGAAATGTGTGGTTCCTCTGCCAAACTTCACACACAGAGGCTGGACATGGTCAACTGGCAGATGCTATAGTTCTGAAGATGGGCTCTGAGGCCTTAGAAAAGTAGCTTTCTTAGAAAAATTATTTTATGATACTACTTATTTTTCTTTATACTTTTATATGCCTTTCTAATCTTTATTCATTTATGTATTATTTATTTTTGGCTGTGCTGGGTCTTTATTGCTGCATGCAGGCTTTCTCCAGTGGCTCAGGCCACTCTTTGTCGGGGTGTGCAGGCTTATCGTTGGGGTAGCTTCTTTTGGTCGGGGGCACAGGCTCCAGGTGCCTGGGCTCGGTAGTTGAGGCTCTCGGGCTTTCTTTCTCTGCATTATGGGGGATCTTCCCAGACCAGGGTTCAAACCCGGGCCTCTCGCATTAGCTGGCGAATTCTTTACCACTAGACAGACCCCCAGAGAAGCTCTGAATCCTAGATTTATCACTCAGTCATTCCCAGTTTCCTCATCTATAAAATGAGATCGTCAACAGGCTTCTCATGAGGATCAAATGAGATGCTGAAAGCACATAAGAGACGGACTCCTCATACAGCTTATATCTGGGGAAGAGTCAGCTGAATCTCATCCGGGAGTTACACACATGAAGGCTTCTTTGGGACACAAACCTGAAGATGAACAGTTAACTGGGTGCAGCGGTGAGAAGGGTGGAAAGGAAGAAGCTAATCAATAGAGGGACTGGCTCCAGAAAAATCCCTGGGGAATCATGCAAGCCCAAACTAAAGCAGTGAGGCCGAAAAGGAAACAATCTCCTGAGAATCAAGGATTTCCTAAATACACTGTGAGCTAGAAGGAGCCTCTCAGTTCAGCCTGAGGCCAGTCCCTGCAAATTCAGGACTTCACATCACACCAGCCAGCCAACATTCAATTCCCTGCCAGAAAAACCACATTCACCAAATCTTCCGCAGGGCCCTCGAACCACAGGGCTCAAAAGTGAATCGTTTTGCAGGCAGAGGAGGAAGACTAAGAAGGCAGGTCAGAAGGTACAGTCGGAGGAAGCAGACCGGTTTGCCTTGGCAGCTGAGGTGTCTTGCGGGGTCGAGGATGGGGGAGCGGCGAGGGGCGGGGGTGCCTCCAAGACTGGTTGGGCAATTTGCAGCGCCCAGAACTTCAGGTTGAGGAATCGGTTCAGGTTGTTGGACCTCAGTCAAACGGAGAATGGGCACCCGCTAGGAGCAGTAATCGGGAGTGGACAGGAAGGACCCAGATGAGGGGCGGGGGAGCAGGGGGTGTGGAACAAGATGGGATAGGCTGCCTGGCAGTTTTCTTCTCCTAGGAGCTAATTCCTTCCGGCATGACGGACACCTGCGATCCCAAAACTGCTGGGCTGGAAGAGCCCTTGAGAAAGGAACTACCAACAGGTGCCGTGTGTCAGGCCCTGAAGGTGGGCATTTTCGTGAACATTGTCATAACACTCTGCTTCGAGGTAGGTATCGTTATCCCCATTTTTCATATGAAAAAAATCGAGGCTTGGTGACTTCCCAAGGAGGAGTGGGGATTTTCTTTGACTCCAGAGCCTTTTCCCTGCAGCTCTCCCGATCTGGAAGCTACCGACTCTCTGAGGTTTGGGGGAACAAGCATCAGGTGTGAGGAGTCGAAGCTTTCCAAGGAACAACAGCGTGACAGCAATGTCGGCAAGAACCACGCCTCCCTTGTCGCGACCATACTGATTACTGCTGCTTTCCTTTAATTAAGAGCCTTCCCCTGAACCATGAAGTCCTCGCCACATGGGGAGGCGGATATTATACATTCTTGGATCTCTCCGACGTCTCTTCTCCGTCACCCGCATTGATCCCCAGTGCCGACATAAATTCTTCCCCTCCACTAGCGAGTGAAGCCTTGAGACTACATGCCCCGGCAGGTCGTCAGAAGCGGGTGGCAGGAGAGAAGGAAAGAGACTCTCCGTTTCCGTCCGCTCTCAGTTTTGACTGTCGGCGGTGATGCACATTTCACCAGCCCACGTCCTTTCTCTGTTCAGCTAAGGAAGGGACTACGTCCCCCAGCAGGCACTGGCACAGAGGATGTGCTAGGTCGCCATCTTTATTGTAGTCCTTTCTCCTTTTTCCACAGGGAGTATCCTTAGCGAATGAACACCAAGTCCCAGGTCACCGTCTCCACATTCCTCCAGCGGCCATCTTTGCGGGTAGACCCCGCCCCTTTCCCCTTCCATTGTTTGGTGGAAGAGATTAGAAGGGAGCGGGGAAGACTGCAACTCCCGTCAAGCTTTGCGCCAACAGGAGGGGAATTTCGATATTACAGCCGGGCGATGTGCCGAGGTGGTAGTGAGGCGACCGTGAGAAGCTAGGTTGCCTGCCATTTTTATGGTAGTCTCCTTATCCTCTTGGCCCTGTCATTCTTAAGGAACTGCAGAAGGCTAGGAAACTACTATTCCCATCGCACCTGGTAAGATGGACTTCTAGTCAGGTGTCGCCCCACTTCCGCCATCTTGTTTGTAGTCATCGTTTGCACGCGTCTATGCTCTGCAATCCGGAGCCTTGGGGCAACCGGACTGTAACTCCAGGCATCCACCACTCCCAGTTTGGCACGTCCTCCGCCATCTAGTTTGTAGTTCCCACTGACCTCCAGGATCCCTTTGATCCCATGGTAGCACCAGCGCCGCAGGACTACTACTTCCGTCGTGCCCTGCGCATTTTAGTCCTGAAAAGTGGAGGTGGGGGGGGTAAGGAGGGGGCAGGGGTCGCAGTTCCTCTGCGAGAAGGAGGGAGTAAAGAGGAGGAGGAGGAGAAGGAGGGAAGGAGGGGGAGGGGAGCGGAGCGGCGCGGCGGGGAAAGGAGGAGAGGGGAAGAGAAGAGAGGAGAAAGGAGGATGCAGCTCAGGAGGGAAGAGGGAGGCGCCCAGGGCCCCGAGCCGAAGCAGGGCTGAGCCGGGGAGCCAGGGGGGGCTGAGGCACGCCGATTGCCCCCTCACCGCTTTCATATCCCCTTCCATCATTTCTTTCCACCATCCAGCTTGACGAAGGGGATTTATTCAGATCTTATTTAACTGTATCTCCCGAGGGTCGCGCTCTGGGGGAGGGGGAGAGGGCGGGGTTCGGGCAGGCTGGGGGGGGGGGCGGGGCCCAGCAGCTTTCTTCACCCACCCTCTGCTCGCCCCTTAGCACTAGCGCGTGGGGCCGCAGACCAGGGCGGGCCCAGGGGAGGGGGCCAAGTTGCAGGAACCGCCCCCTCCCCGGGAACCGGCGGTGGGCGGGGCTTGAATCCCGGAAACGATACGGGTCCCAGGCTTGGCCCTCGACCCCTGGGTTGTGGAAATCTGGAAGGGGCCAGTTAAAGGGCCGGGGGCGCTGGGGAGAGGCGGGCGGGGTGGGGGGATGGGAGCTGGGATTCGGACCCCCGTACTGACTGGGGCCCGGGCAGAAGCTGTGCACCCTGCGCACGAACAGCCCTTGCTGGCCTGGGGGAACTGAGGGACTGAGCTACCCTCCCCAACCCAGAGCAGGACCTGCCCCTGGAAGGGCCGCGCCGCAGCCCGTGGGAGAGCCTCGCCCCCGGCGCCCCCATCTACACTCTCCGCCGTCCCGGCCTCCGCCCTTGAGGGGCCGTGGACCCCAGCGTTCTGAGCGTTCCGCGCCCCGCGATGCCCAGCTCCACCCCACCCCCACCCCACCCCACCCCCCCCCCCCCCCGCCACCGATGGCAGCCGACCCCCGGGGCACTGCCGAGAGGGAGAGATGGCTCCTGGGACACGTGTGAGGTGGGTTCATGCGGCTCCTCCACACCCCCAGGCCCGGGCAGCTCCCAGTCCATTCATCCTCAGCCGGGCCTCTCTCTACCTTGCCCGCCCCCAGCCTCACCCTCTCTTTGCGCCAAACTCATCTCCAGCCCTCATTCTTGTTGCCTCTCAACCCTGGGGAACTGGCCTTCCTTCCTCCACCCTGCTTCGCCTTGCAGACCCCTATCCCCGCCTGCAATTGCAGCCCTCCAAGGCCCCTCCTCTGGAGCGCTGGAGGGCTCCTCTCCTCCCATGAATGGGTCTGGAAAGGGAGAAGCTGTGGTAAGACTCTGGATACGAAGAGACCCTCCAGGCCTGCTGAATCTGTGTGGGATCTTGGAGGATCTGGTTTCCCTGGGAAGAGAAGCCCAAGGGATAACAGACAATTAGGGATGGAAAGCAGCTTGGGAAGCTGAGAGGTGGGGGTGGTGCACATGAGTCCATCTTGAGTTCTATGGAGATGTCAGGCTGGATTCTAGAATCCCAGGGAATCTGGGAGATTGCCCAGGTTGACCTGAGAGACCCATAAGAAGTCTGTGTTGGAGCAGAGGGAGCTCTGGGGAACAGAGTTGACATTTGGGGCCATGGAGGCGTTCTAAAGCAGCGTCTCAAAGAAGGTCTGTGAGCGCTGGGAAGTTGGGCAGCCCGGTGGATCTTTTGGGGTTAGATTGGGTGAGCAGGTTCCCACTGAATCTGAGGAGGAAATCTAGGGTTTAGGGGAAGAGGAGTTGGGGGTTAGTTGTTTCTGACGGAAAAGAGAGGTCTGGATTTGATGATCAGGAATCTGTGGGGATCTGGGAGGTAAATTTGGGGTATTTCAGGTTGGAGAGAGCCATGGATGGACCGCATTTGGAGAACAAGGCAAGAGTTGGGACCTGTCTCAGGTGACTCCACAAACAAGGAGCCCCTGGTTTTCCCAGGAGCTTCGCTGCGGGGATGTCTGTGGAAAGGTCCTTGTACCTCTCGGTGTCCCTTCGTCCCCGTGGGCCCTCCCGACCTTGCCACCCTCCACCCACAGCCCTCAGCTTTGGTGATGCCCCCAATGTCGTCGAGCAGCCGGGGGCCAGGGGCCGGAGCACGCCGACGCCAAACCCGCTGCCGTCGCTGTCGGGCCTGCGTGCGAACTGAGTGCCGGGAATGCCACTTCTGCCGAGACATGAAGAAGTTCGGGGGGCCCGGGCGCATGAAGCAGTCGTGCCTGCTGCGGCAGTGCACTGCCGTGAGTTCTGCCCCTGCTGCAGGGGGGCACCCTTCCCCAGCTGACCTCAGTACCTATCTGGGGGGCTGGGGGTGACTCTGCTCAGGGTCATGGAAAGTTGCCACAGGTTCGCATATTCATTCACTGGCTGGTTCACATATCCGCCAGGCCCATTTCTGTCCTCAGCTTCAAGCTGGGGCCAATATTTGGGTCCACAGAAGAATCCCTCCCACTCCCTACCTTCAGGCTTTCCCCAAGTTTAAGAGGCAGAGACCCATAGAAAGTTCGGGCGGGCCCCCTTGGACCCCCTCCCCAGAGCCACGAATGGGTCTTTGCCTTCTTTGGCCTCCTTTTCACCTGTGAGGGTGGTCTCGGATTTGAAGCTTGTCTTAACCACTGTGTGACCTTGGGCAAATCACTGTGACCCTCAAGGTACCTCCTCTGTGAAATGTTTCCTTTGCTGAGTTGTAAAGGTCAAACAGCATGAATAAGAATGTACCTGTTGCCAGGAGCAGCCCACAGTAGGTATCCAAGAACCATGAGGTTATGCCCACGTTCCTCAACCTTAGCGCTTCCCAGGGCTCCCGAGAGTGGTCCTTTCCCAGTAGCCATAGGACCAGCTGCATCCTGTGCTCCCCGTGACCCCACCTCTCTTTTTCGCTGCCGTCACCCTTTCCTGGTTGGTCTCTCTGCCCCACAGCCCCTCCTGTGCTGGTGCGCCGCCTCCAGTCTTACCTGAACCTGCGTGCGCTGCGCCTACTGCAGCGCTTGGAGGACGCGGTGGGCCAGGTCCCGGCTCTGGGCGCCGCGTTAGAGGCCATGCTGGCCGTGCTGGGGCCGAGAGCCGCTAGCCCCGTCCCAAACACGCGGTCGCCGCCACCACTGCCTCCGTGGGCGTTTTCCTGGCCAAGGTGCTGGGGTTCCCTGTGTGGGGCCTCTACCTCGAGCCGCATGAGGCTGACCTGGGCCAGCTGGCATCTGGGGGCCCGGCCTGAGCGCCGGGCGCATGGCCCAGCTCGTGGTCCCCTCCCTGGCCGTCTCCATCTCTCCTCATCTCTGTCAGCATCTCTGTGTCCTCCGACTGTGTCCGTCTCTCTGTTTTCTTTGTATGCTTCTCCATCTTTTTCTCTCTGGGTCCTTCTTGTCTCCCTCTACGACTTCCCGTATCTGTCATGTCCTTGCTTCCCCATCGCTCCTGTCTGCCTCTCTGAGTGTCTCTCTGTCTTCCCATCTCTTGTTTCCTCTGGGCCCCCTGGGAACCTGTGTATATGTCCACCTCATCTCAAGGAAGGGACACCTGTCACTCTGTTTGCCTCTGTCCTTCTCTCTGTCGTTTCCTGGCCAGGAACATGCCTGCTGGCCCTGTGGTGGAAGGGCTCCTCCTGACACATTTCACCCCCTTCCCGCAGGGTCACTCCACCTGCTGCTCTCCCTGTCCCCATCCCAGCCCTGTGGCCCTCCACCGTCTCCCTTTGATGCCCTCCACCCCTTCCCCTCCCTCTGCCCTAATCCTACACCTTCCCTTCTCCTCAAGTCAGGTTTTTGGAGACAAAAGAAAAATCTCACCCCTTTGAAGAGTTTTATTTACGAGAATAAATTAATTTTTTATAAATAAAATGCTTAAAAAGAACTTTGAATTTACCAGTATATATAGTCGTTGAAAATGGGGAGACAATTTAAGGACAATAAGATCCTTGGGGTATGACCTGGTCCCCCCAGCCATCCGCAAAAGCCACACTATAAAGAGGAGGTTCAGGAGAGCCCCGGGCCACAGATGCCATCTGTCATCCCGAAGTGGATGTCTCCTGAGCAAGAAACAGATGTGACTCAAGTCCTTAGCTTTTCAAGAGTCAGACATCCATTGCCTAGGAAGTGAAGCACCTTAAGATGGGAACTTGGAACAGTGGCCACAGTCAGAGAGGTAGTTTCGAGGAGGAAATGAAGTCCAGGGAAACGGGAGGCCTCATTGCTCAGAAAGTCCATATCTTCATACAGGAAATGAGGTAGATAGAGACAAGAAGGCAGTCCCTGGACCTCCCCTAAATGACAGGAAGGGGACCAACTGTATTCCCACCTGTAGAGGGAAGTGAAAGTGAAAAGTGTTAGTCACTCAGTCATGTCCAACTCTTTGTGACCCCATGGACTGTAAGTGAAGTGTCTTCAAAGAGGTATTTCTTTCCACCCAGGAAGTGAGCAACCAGTACCACAGGAAGGGGAATTCATGACATGCTGTCCATGGAGTCCCACCCAGATCTGGAAGGGAGGCCACAGGAATTGGGCAGGACAACCCAGGCATAAGGACTAGAGGCCTGGTCCCCAGGAAATGTTCCCAAATATGTTGTACACAAGGCCTGTCTGCTAGACAGCATCTCTCTCCTTTCTAGCCAAAAGCAAGGCAGAAAAGAATCCCTTGTGAGAAAAAAAAAAGGGGTGGAAGAGTCAGCTGTGAAAGGGAAAAGGTTGCAGCCTCTAACAGGAAGTCCCACCTCCTCTATTCAGAGTATTTGGCCTTGAGCTCACCCAAGAGAGTCACAGCTCGGTCTGTCCAAAAGCTGTAGTCCCGGATTATTACATACCCTCGACACTTCCTCTCAAAGACCGAGTCCCCTAAGGGGATACTACTAAGGTGGCTGCTTGCTGAGGGGTGGGCACTCCCAGGGCAGTCATGATGCCAGCCAAGTTGCCTGCTAAGCTTTTGGCCTTGAGTCTTGCTTCCCAGAGCTGATCCACCACGATAGAATTGTTAGGGCTCATGTCATCCTGGTCACGTGCCGCAAGCCGGAGGTGCTGACTGAAGGACCAGAAGGCCTCCTGGGTGAGGCTCAGATGTTCTCCATCTTCCAGGCCATTCCAGATCTCGAAGGGCATGTCGGTCGAAGGCAGGGTTCTGAGTGAGAGTCCGGGGGATGAGAAGTTGGGATCACTAAAGGGACTGCCTTGGTGCTCGAGCTGCACGAGAGACAGAGGCAGATGGGAGTGAGGGGACCCAAACACTGCCCTAGGGTGCCCCTGAATTCACATCTGCCTTCCATGAGACTGGCCTCCTCCTAGGGGGAGTCAGCATTCCCTGCCTCTCAGGGAGTTGATGAAATGTGCTAGCACAGAGCCCCAGTACTGTTAGGCTTCCACTCAGCCTCCTCCACATACAAGTTGTGCAACTTTGAATCACAGCTTCAGTAATTCCCACATGGCACTGTAATGGGGAAGATGATAAGATGTAATAAACATAAAGCACTTAGCACTTGGCTTATGATTATGACATTAATATTCCATTTATATTAATATCATGACCTCTATGATTATGTTACTTATTATAGTATTTTCAAGCAAAATATATTATTGACAATGTGGTTAAAGCCGTATTTCCTTTTTATTCACATTCTTCAGTAGTTAATATTTGTTCTGTTTTAAATAATCATTAATATGCAATTATTAATATTGAATTGAATTATATTAGTGAATGCCTTCTCCTTTAAATTTCTCACCTCCACAAACCTAGACCCACAGGATTTTAGTCCACACTGATCAGTTCTGTAACTGATAGATCACCTAGTCCTACATGCCCATTTTACAAATGGGGAAACTCAGGATCCTCAAAGTTACCCAGAGGATGGTGGCAGATATGAGACTAGAAATTAGAGGAAGGGACTTCCTTGGTGGTTCAGTAGTTAAGACTCTGCCTGCCAAAACAGGGGACATGGGTTCGATCCCTGCCCCAGAAAGATTCCCCATGCCGTGGGGCACCTGAGCCTGGGGACCACAACTCCTCAGCCCTCAGTCAGAGCCCACGCTTCGTGCAAGAGAAGCCACCGCAATGAGAAGCCCAAGCAGCGCACAGAAGAGGAGCTCGCGCTCACTACAGTTACAGAAAGCCTGAGCACAGCGACAGGGACCCAGCACAGCCCACAGGAAAGAAACTCGACTTTAAAAAGGAAAAAGAAAGTAGGTTAGGTAACTTCACGTGGACCTAGAATATAGTTCAGTGGAAGAGTCACAAATTCCAGGGCCTCCAGGGGCCAGTAGATCACATCACCTGGAGAAGCAGCAGATGGGGTGGGAGTGGGCCTCGGTGACTGGAGGCCAACAGCACCCCTGTGCCTGTTTCTGACAGGTTTTCATGTGCAAAATTTGAACAAGCATCCATGGCCTAGACAAAGCATCTGTGGGTCAGACCCAGCCATCAGAGTGCTGCTTTGAACTTCCAGACAGTTTTGTGACCTCAGGTAAATTATTCCCCCTCTAAAGCTCAGTTTCCTGGCCTTTCCCTCATGGTCCAGTGGTTAAGACTGCCCTCCAAAGCAGGGGTTGCAGGTTCAATCCCTGGTTGAAGAGCTAAGATCTCACATGCCTCGCAGCCAAGAAACCCAACAGATAAATCAGAAGCGGTATTGTGACAAAGTCAATAAGGACATTTTAACATGGTCCACATCAGAAAATCAAAAAGAGGGCTTCCCTGGTGGCTCGGTGGGTAAGAATCCTCCTGCCAATGCAGGAGACACAGGTTCCTGATCCAGGAAGATCCCACATGTCCTAGATCAGCTAAGCCCGTGGGCCATAACCTCTGAGCCTGTGCTCTAGAGCCAGAGAGTCGCAACTGCTGAGCCCACGCGCCACAACTACTGAAGCCTTGCGAGCCCTGGAGCCTGTGCTCAGCAACGAGGGAAGCCACCGCAGTGAGAAGCCTGCACCCCGCAACTCTTGAGAGTAGCCGCCAGAGAGGCTGCTCAGTGCTCAGTCACTTCAGTTGTGTCCGACTCTCTGCGACCCCATGGCCCGTGGCCCACCAGGCTCCTCTGTCCATGGGATTCTCCAGGCAAGAATACTGGAGCGGGTTGCCATTTCTTTCTCCAGTGATAGAGTGTGAAGTGAGTGAAGTGAAGTCGCTCAGTCCTGTCTGACTCTTTGCCACCCCTAGGTCTATAGCATAATTGCTCCTCCGTCCATGGGATTTTCCAGGCAAGAAAAAGTTGCCATTTCCTTCTCCAAAACTAGAGAAGAACGCAAACTAAATAAAGATCCAGCACAGCCAAAAATAAATAAAATTATAAAAATTTAAAAAAATAATTTAAAAAAGCCCCCTCAGTTCTCTTATCGGTAAAAACAGGTCATAATTCTACCTCTTAGGGCTCTCTGAGGAGCCAGTAAGATCATGAGGCTAAATCTCCCAGCATGGCATAGGCTCAGGAAAGCATAGGGCAGGAGGTGACTATGGAAAGACTCATGAGCCTGGAAAAAACTTCCCTCTAGGTGCTTCCTTTGAATCTCCTAACAGTCTTGAGAGGTCAGCCAAGACACGATCACCATCCCATTTGGCAGATGAGGAAGCTAAGACAGGGAGAGAAGGAATGACCTGCCCAAAGTCACCCAGCCATCAGTGGCATCATTCCTGTGGGCGTGTCTCTAGCTGGCAGAGCCTCTGTACCCCAGGACCCATGGAGGAGGCTTCTTCCAGCCTTGTTCTGCCTCCCTTCCCCAGGGCTGGGCCAGGAGGGGGACAGCCTCCTCCCCTCACCCCCTGCTCATGCCCTGTCACTCACGTAAGTCTGTAGCAGGACTGAAGTCTGCAACTGTATGTCGAGCGCCAGATTATAGGCTTGATTGATAGACTCAGCTGTGGATATGGGGGCTCCCAAACTGAGAGGTGGCAGCAGCAGGGTCAGCAGGCAGAAGGGGGCTGGCAGGAAGAAATCAGAGGTCAGCACCAAGTCCCTGACCTCACCTGCTGATTCACTCATTCATCATAATAGCCCCTCATATGGATACAACTCTTGTGCTTACAATGGCCTTGTGTGTGCAACTCAGGGCAGGATCACCCTGTAAGCCACTTATTTCTAGCCCAGAATATTCCCTTGAGACTTCCCTGATGGTCCAGTGGCTAATGACCTCAGTTCCCAACGCAGGAGGCCCCGGGTTCAATCCCTGGTCAGGGTACTAATCCCACATGCCACAACTGAGAATTTACATGCTGCAACGACTCAGAACCAGCACAGCCAAATAAGATATATTTTTTATTTTTTCTTTTTAAATGCAATTTTATATAAATAAATATTAAAAACAAAAAATTCCAGTGACCTCCAGACCCAGGTATTAGACTTCCCACTTGACATTTTCCCTTGGATGTTAATAAGCATCTCAAGTCACAATATCCACTGCTCAGCTCTACCTGCCCTGTTACCCTCCTTCCCTGGTCTTTCCCATCTCAGAAAAGTGCATGTCCATTCTTCCAGATGCTCCCGTCAAAGTCACGGTGTTCTTTTGGACGCCTCATTCACTCCTTCTCCCGATGTTCAACCCACACTAAATCCTGTTGGCTCTGTCCTTAAAAGGTGGCCACGAGGTCTGTGGGTTTTGTTGTTTTGTTTGGTCACACCATGAAGCTTGCAGGA